CTCTGAAACTCATCAAGGGCCTCATAAATTGCTATTACCAGTCTGTCAACGCTACATTAAAATTCAAAAGACATCAACACAGTCTTTGAAAGAAAAAAATCAACTGACTGTATCTTCCCAACATGTCAGAAAACTCTCATCTCATGCCAAGTACTATAACGGCTCTATGAAGAAATGAAACAGAAAGCCACACTAGGACATGAGCAAACATGTATGAAGGAAGTGTCAAACAGAGCAGGGTGGACCATAAGTGGCAGCTAAAGGCTTTAGAGCCCCTGCAAATGGAACGGCAAGCACATTTCAGCATAAACTTCATGCTCCCCTCAGCCCAGCACTCTGCTAGAAAGAGGCTATGGACGGAAACCATATAAACATTCACCAACAACGAAATAGTCAAGGACTCATAGGTCTTGGCTACAGCAGAACAGAAAGCTGTGACAGCCAGATCTCGGTGGGACTGATTTGTTTCTCTGGGTCTTGTAAGTTTCCACAGGGTGCAGTATAACCACTTTTCTGTAGATGAATGGGAAATATTGGCGCTCACCAAATAGTCTGTTTCTTAGAAACAAGGATTATCAAATTTTATTTCACTTATTTGAGGACATGTTTTCAGGAAGGATAAGTCTGGGTCTGTGAAAGAGTAGAAGATCATTAACAAAGTAGATTGAAGCAGTGACTAACCACGGGTTCGAGCGTATCAGAGATGGTGAGGGTGTGGCGCAGGGTATGGTTCAGATCTGCTGTCCACAGGGCTGCTCCGAGTCTGTCTACTCGACAGCACCTAACAACAATAAAACTCTTATATTTTTCTGTCTTACACAGGTTCCAGCTTTTGTAGGTTTTAATATATTTTGAAAACAAGAGGTAGAAAAATCAATCTATACAAAATATTCTTAAAATCATTCATAAAATAATCTAGATTATTGCTGGTTTTGTGTACCATCAGCTTGGAAAGGACCCACAGCTGACCCTCCAGCAGGTTTTCAGAGGCAGTTAATTGCATAGGCAATTGTCCAACTTTCTTCCACAAAGTAGCTGAGGGATTCAAAGCATATACCTTTGCACTGGCAGCATAATTCCTGACTACTTTTCTTTTTTATGTGCTTCCTTTAACTCTTAGACAATTTCAAAATTAAAATAGAAAAAGAAATTTATTTTATAACCCTAACCCAATTTAAACTATTATTTGCCATGGATTACTTTCTTTGTTTTTACTCTCAACCCCAATCATTTGAAGAAAATCTTTAAAAAGTTAGTTTAGATATTTATCTTTAAATAATTTTTTAAAAGTCATCATCAGGATGACAGAAAAAGAAGTGATACCTTTGAGCCAGGGTGTTGGAGAAGAGCACTGAACATCCCATGGATGGCCAAGAGACAAACAGATATGCCTTGGAGAGGGTGCAGCCGGACTACTCTTTGGAGGAGAGAATTATGAGGCTTTGCCTCACATCCTGTGGGCATGTTGCTAGGAGGGGCTGGTTATTCCTTGGAGAGGGACATGATCCTGGGAAGGGTGGAGGGTTGGTGAAGGAGAAGACAACCCTCAACCAGGTAAACTGACATGGTGACTGCTGTAATGGGCTCTTGTGTGTGAGGAAGTGTGAGGATGGTGCAGGACAGTTGGGGTTCAGATCTTTTATTCACTAAGAGTTGTATTTGACAGCATCTAACAACAATAACAACAGTCAAGTTGACTCTGATTCATGATGACCTCAGGTATGTCAATGACCTGTGCTCCAAAGGGTGATTCCCAATGGACAACTTGGGGAAATGGATTGCCAGGACTTTCTTCCAAAGTTCCTTTGGGTGGACTCGAACCACCAACTTTTTCATTAGTAGCTGAGCTGTGTTACACAGAGATCCCTCTAAAGGGGAGTAACTCTTTTGGGGGTGGGGAGTATCATTATCACATACTTTGGGTGATATTATGTATTTATCATAAATATGGATATATGTCTAAAATCTTTCTGGAAGAAAATATGAAAATGACTAGATGGCTTGATTGCTAAATAGAATGCTAGACAGATGCTGGTGTTAGGTGTTGTTTAGCTGGCACTAACGCCTCGTGCCCTGGTGCACAACAGAACAAACATTCCATCATCCTCAAATGGATTCTGTGTATGGGCCTGTTGACTGCTATCAATCGATTTTATGAAAATTCTTCCTCTTTTGTCTCTCACCTTCCACATTAAATATCTCCCTCCCTTCCTCCCTTCATCTCTCTTTTTCCCACTCCCCCTCCCCTCCCCTTTCAGTGGTCCTCAATTAAATCCAATGTACGAAGGACCATTCATTGGTTTTTCGAGGCTGAGGGGCTGAGATAGCCCATCTTTCACCCCAAGAAGCCCCTGATGGGTTCAAACCACCAGAGAGGCACAGTCTTGTGGTATGCAGTGCAACTCCGGATAGGTTGTCAACGGCAGTGGTCACCTTGGGCATGGGGCCTAATGTGAGGATCAGGAGAGGATTTGTTATTCATTTTAAAACATCCTGTATATGAGTTAAAAACATTAATGACAACAGAATACACTGTGCCTGCCAGAGTGGAAGGATGACTGTCATGAACTGCTCAGAACTGACTCATAGTTGGGTTTCTGTTGCTGTAAATCACACAAGAAGAGATTTTCTTCCTCCTGTTGAGCTGCTGGTAGATTTATATTATCAGCAAGGCGTGACCTACGGGTCAGCAGCACAGGTTCCGACGGTCACAAGAGAGGAAAACAGAGGGGCAATAGAGTGCTGTGCTGAACATAAGAATAGAGCGTCATGCAGATGACGTAACAACCTTGCTTACTGAAACTGAGGAGGACCTGAAGCTTTTGCTGCAGAAGGTGGACTGTAGTCTTCAATACAGACTGAAGCTCAACATCAAGAAGACAAAGATTCTCACTACTACTGGAAGCACCATGATAGACAGAAAAAGAGATTGAGATTGTTAATGGTTTTTTAGCTTGCTTGGTTCCACAATCAACACTCTTGGAAGGAAATAAAAAAGTTGAATTTCACTAGGAAAGGTAGCTGTCAGGGACCTCTCTGGGTGCTTTAAGACAACGATGTTAATAGAGATTAAGGTGTGCCTGATCCAGGCCAGGATCTCTGCAATTACCTGTTATGCATCAAAGAGCTGGACAATGACCAAACATGACAGAAGAACTGATGCGTTTGAGCTGTGGTGCTGGAGAAGAGTACTGACATACTGTGGACTGCCAAGAGAACAACTCTGTCCTGAAGAGGGTGAAATGAAGCTGCTCCTTGGATGCAAGGGTTTTTAAGCTTTGTCTAACATACTTTGGGCATATTGTCAGGAGGGACCAGTCTTTGGAGAAGGACATCATGCTTGGAAGGGTGGAGGGACAGTGCAAGAGAAGAAGACCTCAGATGAGAGGGATTGGCACAGTAACTGGGGTAATGAGGGTAGGTGTGTCAGAGCCAGTGAGGTTGGCTCAGGATAGGGTATGGTTCAACGCTACTGTGCACAGGGTTGTTATTAGTTAGAATTGAAAGAATGTCACATAACAACAACTGAACCCAAAGGTGTCAGATGCACAAGGGGTCTTTATGTAGATTCACATTCTGGTAAGTGATAACATCCATCAGCTACAGGATATGAATTCTCTAAATAGATCAAAAGTAATAAAGTGTTATAAACTCAGAGACATTACTAAACCTAATTAGAAATCCACAAACGTGCAGGTCCAGACATTCTGAGACGAAATGGAGTTATGTCAACCTTTCTATTGCTATATCCAGAAACAGCAAGTTGAAGAAACACATCATCTACAGGACTGGGATTTTTAAAGGGCATCACAAAATCACTTTTAAAAAAACATGCTGAAGTCTTTCTCCTACTCTCTTTCTAATTTGCATGTGATTTCTAGGCCTTATAGACTGAAAAGCAAATATTATTCTCATCTCTGGAGTGTCTATCTTTTCTAGTTAGTTTACATATCTGAACATAACCCTGAGTATCAGTAAGGTAATTGATGTTGTTGTTGCTGTTACGTGCCACTGATTTGCCTGTGACTCATAATAGCTCTATATTCTGCCCTATCCTGAGCTAGTCGCACTGACTCCAACACACCTACCCCCACTGCCCCAGTTACTGTGCTGGACTAGTTTAAAAAATGCAATCTTTGGAAGGGAAATCTGGTGCCTTAACCAGGCCACACCTTTGTGGTGCCAACCACAAAGTCCACTCTGATGACCCCAGCTCCAAAGGAGAAAGATGGGCAAGCTATTCCCTTGAGATTTACCACCTTGGAAGGTGGCTCAGTTATGAATAAGTTATGATCTGACAACAGCACGTTGACTTGAAATTTTTCACATACTACACACTCACACAAATAACATACACATGTACTTAGCACAAAAAAGGCTAACATAAAACTACTAGGCAATGGAACTTTTAGGCCTGCAAAATCCATAAAATGTGCAAGTTATTTGCCAAAAAATATGGTACATTCTAGGAAGCACCATTTCTCCACTTGAACAAGACCAATAAAATATTCCCCAGAAAAGCCAACAGGAAAAATGTCTTTAATGAAGAGACTTTTAACTTTTCACAATCGTGGGCATGAATACTTTCTGCTGAGAATTTTTAAAACAGTTGTCTCTCTCTTCATCAGTTATATCTGGCCCCCAGCAACTGTATCCTTTTATTATTTTGCTTACCAAAGCTCAACATTTGCAGGTAAAATACAGATACAGTTCTCCAAAGCACTAGAAATGTAAATTCACAATAGATGTCTTACTGTACTTAAAATCCAAGGCTTATTTTAATTACAAAATGCTTACCAGAAAAAAACACCCTACACAGTGGCAGACAGGGGGAATCTAACAATATCTCCCATACAAATCACCTAACTTTACCCTGAAATGCTCATGTTCTTTCAAGCTTGGAAACGCACTTTTTTGGTCAGCCTAGAGGTTTACGCATTGATGGTCAAAGATATGAACATAAAGCCCCACCCTGGCCCACATCTTTCCCAAGGGGGTACCTGTTTCATCTGGGGAGCTGGGGGAGGCACTGTCCTGAGACAACGTGGTCCAGCTTGACTCCTCATCGCTGGGTGCCAGGTTCTGGATCCGGTGGAGCGCACAGTCCGTTTTGGCCCCCGTTTTGGGATGATCCTTCTTGGTCTCCGGACTGGACGACACCGTGGCGACCTGGCCGTCATCGGGGCTGGACGAGGGCTTGTTTGCTTTCTGCAGCAGCAGCTCCCCGTTGCCGATGACGGTGGACACCTGGCCCTGGCCGGGCTGGGCTTTCTCTTCGCCCTCCCTGTGATGGTTGCCCAGGTTCTGCTCGAGTTCTCTGGCTGAGGTCTCCAGGTCTGCATAGTAGTTGAGGAAGCTCTTGGTTTTCCTGGGCTGCGAGGATACGAGGTCTGAGCCCGTGGAGTCCTGCGGATGGGGCTCTTTCCCCTCTAACTTCTCACAAGTTCTGTTGATGCCCGCTGTTGGGCTGACATTTTTGTTGGGGTCCTGCTGCCCTTGCTCGGCAGCCTTCCGGAGCTGGTTCTCCCCATTTTTCACCAGTTTGATGTTGGCGGAGCCGTTTCCCAGCAGGGGCTGTGCGGCGGGGTCCGAGAGGCCCATGGCCGCCTGGATGTTAGTCAGTGCATATTTCTTCCTGCACTTGGGGGGTGTGCTGCTCTTGCTTTCGGCGTGCCTGATCTCGGCATTCAGCAGTTCATTGTGGGAGGAACGGAGATTAAGGGTGTTTGGTGGTGTGGCTGGGCCGTTTCGATGCGAGACATCTGTGGTTCCGCTGCTGGCCATAAACACTGCCAGGGTGTCTCCACCTGAGTCAGCTGGAAAGAAAGGCGAAATGGTCATTAGACTCCCACTGGGATTAAACCGTTTAGGATACTGGATGCAGGGAGCTCTGGGGGCCTAGTGGTTAAAAACTTGCTCTGTAATCCTGAAGGCAGGTGGTTCAAATCCAACAGACACTCTGAAGAAAAATGGGCAATCCTCCTGTGTGGTTAACTGCCTCTGCAAACCCACTGTAGGTCTCGCTATGGGTTGGTTTCAACTCAATGCAACAACAAAGAATACTGAATGAGCAAACACTTTATACTGAAAACTGAAAGAATGAATGCTTCCATTACATGATGCATTCTTGTAGAACTGACACAATTCCCTTTCTGTTTTCACTGTTGGCTTGTATATTAACTCAAATTAACAACTCAATGCCATGAAGTCAGAACCAACGATTAACACTGCACTTTTAGAAGTTGTAAATCACAAAGGACGGAGTGTTCATCTTTCTCCCACAGAGAAGAGGATAGTGGATTTGAACCATCTGCCTTTGGGATGGCAGCACAACTCCTTACCACAAAAACATCAGAGCTCCCTCATAAACTACTCAGAAGCAAATAAAAGTCTTAATGTGCATAGCAAAAGTCAATTTAGAGAAAAGCTTAAGAGAACCGAAGGTCCAAATTTTTTTTAAAAGAAACCTGAAACATTTTCTTGGTTTCATAAGAAAAAGTGTTTTCTTAGAGCAGTTGATTGTCATGATTCACAACCTCGACAAGTATCCCTCTTCTAAGCATCAATAAATACCATATGTCTATTCTGTAATTCCTTCAGGCTAAAAGAAAATTTACAAATTGATTTTTTTTTAAAAAATTCCCTCTGGGCTCCATCTTTCTTAACTAACCTAAGAAGTCATTGTTCAGTGCTACTCTCTCCACTTGTCCACAGTAATATTTCTCAGTCATGCTTAGAAATCGTGTTCAAAATGTCTGGAAAAATCCCTCAGTTTAGGTTGATGTCCTTGTAAACTTTATTTTCACCTGGTGTAAAGGTTTGTACTAAGCAGGTATTTTGAGAGACTAGCTTAATTTCTCAAGAAAACACACACACACACACACACACACACACACACACACACACATTAGTACTAATGCAGCATTGAGGTTTTGGCTACAGACAACATTCTAAGAGTCTCCAACGGCGTCTGAACACATTCTTCGGAATTAAAACACAGACTCAGGTGTTGGCAGTCATCATGTGCTCTCACAGAACGCCTAGGAAACCAACTGACAGCTGCATTTATCACAAATATTGTTCACACCATCAGTGATTTATGTCACAAATCCCATTCTAGGAAGAAAAGGTTTCTCAGCCTAGGAGAACATGAAACCCATCACTAAGCATTCCTAAGGCTTCGGATTTCTCAGTCTGTGAGGAAGGACTTCTTTCTTATCTGAACCCTGGAGCCCTCCTGAGTTATTCTTTAGCAGCAGAGAAACTAAAAGCACAGCTCTCGACATTCCTGAAATGGTCTTCTGCCAACTCTCCCTGAACAAAGGAGGACAAGAATTTTCCCCTATTGGAGAGTTGAGGGCTATTTTTATCATCAAATACTCAGGTTGGATGATTCTTGAAGAGTTACTCCTTCTAGAACCTATGAGCTTCCAGGAAGTTTCATAATGTCTAGACTCTCACATGCTCACTTACTGCCTTCAAGCTGGAACTGACTCACAACTGTTCCTTCACTGGGTTTCCAAGGCTGCAAACTTAAGTAGAAGGGGACTGTCCGTCTTTCTCCCTTGGAGTTGCTGAGAGATTCACAAGACCGACGAAAACCATGGCTCAGCAGTGCAACTCCCTGTGGACTACACAATCAGAGGTCCAGATTCTAGGCAATGTCTGTATTTCTCTCGGAGTGCTGTATGGTCTACAGGAGAACCTTGATGAGAACTGTAACTCAAGAGTAGTTAGAACTTGGGCTTCATTCTTTAAAGTTGTTTATTATGACTATCCACACAGTCAAACACCTTTGCATAATCAGTGAAACACAGACATTCCTCTGGTATTCCTTGCTTCCAGCCAAGATCTATCTAACATTAGCAACAATATCTCTAGTACCACGACCCCTTCTAAACCTGCCTGCACTTCTGGCAGTTCTCTGCTGATGTGCTGTTCCAGTTGTTTTTGGATAATCTTCAGAAGAACCTTGCTTGCATGAGATATCAATGATATTGTTTGTTAATTTCCACACTATGTTGGGTCACCTTTCTTTGGAATGGGAACAAATACAGATCTCTCCCAGTCAGTCGACCAAGTGGCTGACCTCCAGATTTCTTGACACAACTTGGTGAAGACATCTAGGGCAGCATCTGTTAATTGAAATATGTCAACTGGTATACCATCAATTCCTCCATAGGCTCTTGCTCATATGTTGTTTCATGAAATTCTTCTGCATCTGCCAATTCCTTTTGGTAAAATGACTCTGTATACTCTTTCCATCTTCTTTTACTACTTCCTGGATCATTTCATTTTCTGCCCAAATCATCCTTGATTACAGCAACTCGAGGTTTGAATTTGTTCTTCAGTTCCTTGAGCTTAAGAAATGCTGCACAAGTTCGGCCCTTTTGATTTTCTGACTCCAGCTCCCTGCACATTTCATTGTAATATTTTACTTTGTCTTCCCATGCATGCTGCCTTTTAAAATCTTCTGTTTAGCTCTTTAGTATCTTGACTTCATCCCTATGCTTTGGTTTCTCAGCCCTCTGGTGCAATATTCAGAGTCTCTTCTGATGTTCATTTTGGTCTTTTCTTGCCTGGCTTCAGTCAACCCTTTTGGCACCAGCAGCCAGGAAATTAAAAGACATACTGCAACGGGAAAGTCTGCTGTTAGGGACCTCTCCAAAGTACTAAAGAACAATGGTGTCACTCTGGATACTAAGGTGCGATCACTTGCTATGTTTCAGAGAGGTGGACAATGACTAGGGAGAATAGAAGGAAAATTGATGCCTTTGAGCTGTGGTGTTGGAGAAGAGTACTGAATATACCATGGACTGCTAAGAAAATAAACAGGTTCATCCTAGAGAGGATTAAACCAGGCTGCTCCTTGGAGGCAAGGATTCTGAAGCTTTGTCTGACATACTTTGGACATGTTGCAAGGACGGACCAGTCCTTGGAGAAAGACACTATGCTAGGGAGGGTGGAGGGACAGCGCAGGAGAGGAAGACCCTCTCCTCTATGAGGTGGATTGATTCAGTGACTGGGATAATCGGGGTGGGCTGGAGACAGTGGGATTGGCACTATGAGTTGCAGGCAACTTGACGGCACATAACAACAATAACATTATGACTATTGAGTTGGGATTCTGCCCACAGACCATCTCATTCCAGCTTTTGGACTTCATTTTATAGAATTATAGATTCTAGTACATTTTTTACTTTTAAACAATATGCTGTCAAATGGATTATTCCCTTAGTTGCTTGGCCTTCTCTTTTGCTACTGATACCAAAAGAATGGAAACATTTGTTTCAGTCTATAATTCAACCTCAGTATTAGCATCTGAAAAGGAGCCATGCCCATCGTGGACAATTCCTCTGAGCCACATGGCCATAGCAAAAACAGACAAAAAGAAATTCTATTTCTATCTTTGGGTATTTAAGGAGCCCTGGTGGCACTGTGGGGAAAGCTGCCAAACAAAAGATTGGTGTCTCAAACCCATCAGCCGCTTTTGGGGGGAACAATGTGGTAGTCTGTGTTCATAAAGATTAACAGTCTTGGAAATCCTACAGGGCAGTTATACTCAGCATGCTGTAAATAGGAGAAGACTCATCAGTAATGGGCATTTCGCTTGTTTGGGTACTTCTCGCAGTTGTTATAGGTACCATCACGTCAACCCTGACTCACAGGGACGCAAAGATGAATCAATCTGAACCCTGTCCTATCCCATGCCATTCTGACCATCTCTGATATACTTGAACCCATGGTTACAGTCGCTTTGTCAATCCACCTTGCAGAGAGTCTTCCTTTCTTTCTCTCACTCGCCAGCTTTCCCAGGATGATGCTTTTCCCCAAGAATTGGCCGCTCGTGACAACACGTCCAAAGTATTGTGAGATAAAGTTTCATCATCCTTGCCTCTGAGGTTTCACTTCTCCCAAGACAGACTTGTTTGTTCTTTTGGCAGTCCAGGGGACACTGAACTTAAAGAGTCCATGAGATTTTGGGTACCTAGAGTGGCATTATTATAAGAAAGCCGGAAATCTGCTGATTCCTAAACGTCATGTGAAGAAATGTCAATGAAGCCGCTTATGGCACTAACGGCAATACTATTAGGGAGAACCAAATATTCAGAGACAGTGCCACTGGAATTGGTGGGTGATTTCATAGTTAAGTGGTGGTGTGTTATATACCATAGAGTCATAACAAACACTCAGCTGACCCTCTGATGGGTTTACAGAGGCAGTTAATCGCACGAGAGGAGGCTGGCCATCTTTCTCCCGCAGAACTGCTGGTGTCTTCGAACTGAGTGCCTTTAGGACTGCAGAACATATTATGGATGTGACAGATGAAAAGTTTTAACCAAGTTCCAATCAACCTTTTGGAATATCCTCCCTTCCCTGTGGCCCCTGTAATCCTTAAGTCTGATAGAAATTTGAGATGAGAGGAAGACTAGGTGAGTGGGGGTTAGAGATAAGTTAAGAGTCAAAATGTCATCCAATACAAATTGTTCCATAAATACTGCTTGTATATGTCAAAGCCTGAACACAGTTCGGTATATTTGCAGTGTTAAATAGTGCTATCACCTAAAGGTAAAAGAAAAGGTTTAGTCCTAAAATAATAATAATAGTAATAATAATAATAAAGTCTGATCCTAGGACTGAAGGGGATAATGAAGAATACAGTTGCCTTCAGGGCTTACATCTGGGAAGTCGGGGCTCAAAAGGATCACAAAGCTAGTAACCTAAAACCAACCCATGTTTGAGCTGATTTCCAACTCAGCAACGCTACAGAATAGACTAGAATTGTCCTAGAGGAATCCCAAGACTGTAAACCTCTATGGAGGCTTCTCATTCTCACTTGACTCCATCAGTGGATTCAAACCATTGACCTTTCATTTAGCAGCTCAATCCACCCTACTGCTACTACTACTACTATTAGGACGACAACGATGACGATGACAGAGAGAGACTACGTTGGCCTAGAGGAAAGAAAGTTATGCTACCAAGCCGAAGGTGGGTGAGTTTAATCTGCAGCCCTAAGTCCGGGTTCAAATTGTTTTTCTTCAAGCATTCTTCTAGGTGGTAGAGCACTGCTCTGTGCACTGCTGTACAGAAGTAACTCATGGATGCTGTGATTCTGAACACTGGGACACTGATGTTCCAAATGTGGTAATGGTCACTCATGGTGGACAGTGTTTGCTGGAGCTTCCCGATTAAAACAAGCCTGGAAGCAGGAGCAGCATCCACTTCCGAAATGGCTTGCCTCCGGAAACTCTGTGAACAATGCTCAGGCCTTCCATTCATAGAGTCGCTGTGAGTCATCTACGACTCAACATCACCAAACAACAAACAACAACTACTACTACTCCTCCTCAATGGAACTGATTCATAGCTCATTTTCCAGTAAGTATCCATGGCTATAAATCTCACGGTAAGAATCTACCTTTGTCCTGCAGAGCTCCTGGTAGATTCCAACTATTAGAGGTTTGACCATTGAGTTAACAGTAAAACTCGTTATGGAATACACCACCAGAGACCTGTTGGAAGTACACATTAGTCAGGAAAATCCTAGAAAGATCAAGGTTGTAAGAAGGAGAACTCAAAAGTAAGAGGAAGTGCCCAAGAAGGTAAGAACAAGAACTCAAGGTCAGAGAGACCAGGCTCAGCCCTGATCTTGTTACTTGCAAACACACTGATTTAGGATGTTCTGGCCTTCAGGTTCCTCACCTGAAAAATGGGATCCATAACAGTA